CCCCTCCCACCTCTGCAGACTTGGTTCTTGGCTCTGCCCAGTTCCAAGTTGTCCCTTCCTCTCCAGGCTGCAATTTGTCCTCACCCATCACCATAGAGCCTCCCCAGGCCAGGGCTCTACATAGACACAGCTGCCAGCCTCGCTATTCTGGGGATGAAGAAAGTCCCCCCGCGCCAGGAGAGGTGTTCTGTTGGGGCCTATTTGGGATGTGTGGCAGATTCTGCATGGCGCTGTCTCCTGCAGTAGTTTCCCCTGCTAGGCTGGCTGCACTTGGCACTTTTGAGGCCGGAAGCAGAGCCTCGGCCTCACACACCTGGCCTGCGTGTGCTCTGTGTGTGTTGAGGCCTTCTCTCTCCCGGGGGTCTGCTGACTCGTTGCAGAGAATCTCTGCCTAGGAGTTAGCGGCAGCAACTTCTTGAGTTTCTGGCTCTCCTTGAGTCCACATAGACAAAGACATGCCATGGGAGGGCTCCTCGGGAACTCTGAGGGAGAGGATTCCGTCCAGGGATCCCCCACCACCATCCAGCCGGGCTCCACAGCAGAGCTGCACCGGCTGGGGCAGTGGGCCATTTTCCTTCATGGGAAATTGAGTCAGAGCAATGAGCTGGTGAGATGCGTCCCCACTCTTTGCCTCTTAGACGAAGCAGCGAGAGACATGTCAGCATGTTTGGGCTTCACAGCTGCAGAGCGTGGCATCTGTCCAGAGCCCTTACTTCGAACACGTGGTGGTTTAGTGAACGTGAGTCCCAGGAAGCAGGTGATGGAAACAGGACCCTTCTCCCACCTGCAAACAGCCGTTTTAAACACCGGCCTGCTCAGGTTCCTGGTGCAGCAGTATTCGTTGGACTCCTCCATGACCGACAGCACCTGTTCCCTGTTAGCTGCTGTCCCGCTTTGTTTGGTAACACCACGCCATCCTAGCCACCAGAACACGTGGTGGTAGCAATCTGACAGGGTGGGCAGGCCTTTGACAAGCTATGCCTTGAAACTCTGAACGGTCATTCATTCATCAAATCCTCCAACTGAGCACATACTCTGTGCTTAAACACCACAGGAAAAGGCTGACCTGACCTGTCGTCAACTTACAGAAAAAGCAGGTGTGGCGATAACAAGTCTAAAAGGCAAATAAATCATCACGAGTTTGCCACTCACTGAGCAGGAGAAGCAGGAGAGGGCAACGGGGTTCAGGCAGGTTTTCCTGAGGAAATGACTGGGGAGTGAGGCTTCTGAATGGAATAAGAAAGAGGTTTTGAGACACAGGCAGTACCAAGTCCTGAGGCAGACAACACTTGATGCTCTCAGACACTGAGAGAAGCCCAGCAGGGCTAGAGTGCAGAGAGCAGGGGAAGAGGGGGAGGTGATATGGGGGGGGGGCCAGACTACCACGTGCAGGAAGGGTTTGTTTGTGTGTAACAGACAGCTGAACCAAGAACTTAATGAGCATCCCTCTAACATGTCATCAGGGACCCAAGTTCCATTCAGCAATTCAGCACCCTTAGGTTGTGACTCTTGTCCTTATCCTCACAAAATGGCTGTTGGAGCTCCATTCATCATATCTCCATTCCAGGCAGGAATGAGAAGGACAAAGGCAAGAGGGGCAAGCAGTCAAATCTGACCTCTTTCAAAAGACTCCATTACCTTATCTCATTAGCCAGCCTGTGTCCTATGTCACATGCATCACATGTAACCCTAAAGACATCCAGGGAATGAGGTTTTTTAGCTGGTACATTGCTGCTTGCTACAAAACCAATATTCTGTTAGTAAAGAATGCTATCGGATAGGCAGTATCCAGAGTCTGCCTCACAGGGCCTTGCCAGTCGTGGTAAGGAGTGCGGCCCTCATTCTGAGAACAGCTGGGAAGCCACAGAATGTTCTAAGCAGGGCAGTGACATGGAACGGGGAGACAACTCGGGGTTATCCCACTAGAGCCACGTGTGGGCAAGTGTATTCGTTTCCAAATGACCACAAACTGGGTGGCTTAAAACAACAGAAATGTATTCCCCCCCCAGTTTGAGGCCAGAAGTCTGAGTCATATCGTCAGCACGGCCATGCTCCTTGGAAGGCTCGAGGGGAGAATCTTCCTCGCCTTTTCTGGCTTCTGGTGGCTCCCGGCAATCCTCGGTGTTCCTTGGCTTGTCAACTGCATCACTCCAATCTCTGCCTCTGTTGTCACATGGCCTTCTTCCCTGTGTCATCTCTGTGACTGTATGCAAATTTCCCTCTCCTGTCTTTTATAAGGACAGCCATCATTGGAATTAGTGCCTGCCAAGACTCCATGTTTAAATAAGACCACTTTCATAGGTACGGGGGGTGTTAGGGCTGGAGCACACTTTCTTTTGCAAGACGATTCATCCTACAGTAGCACACTTAGATGCTGCTTTGTGTCACTTTGGGCCACTCATTTCACTTCACCCATAGATCATAAAAAGACAGCCCAGGGATAAAGGAGACTGGTTTATTTCCAAAAGTTCTACCCAATGCCAGGTACCAGTCCCTCCTTCCTTTCTTATAAAAAGGCAAAAGGAAGGGTCTGGGCTCCTGTCTCACTCACCTCAGCAAACATTTCTTCAGCTCCGATGATTCAAGGACCTCAAGCCATTGGTGCAGAGGTGACCCCGCCTGTCCCTGCTTGTCACGGGATCAGAGTTTGGACAGGTGGGCGGTGGGGGAGAGAGGCAGCTGAAATGTAAATGACAGCCTGAATAGCATGTAACTTGTTTTCCTTTCTTCAGGCAAAATTTTAGGCTAACCGATGACCTTTAATAAAGCACTTTTATTCCTCACCTGAGGATACTTTTTTTTCTTTTTTCTTTTGGTACGTGCCCCTAGCGGAACCGAACCTGGGACTCTCTGGTCCGCAAGCCGATGCTCCAACCGCTGAGCCAAACTGGCCAGGGCAATAAAGCACTTTTATATTTGAGCCCCGGGGTGGGGGCAGCTGAGCTGTAGCAGTGGCTCTGGCAGCTGGTCGAAGCGGAGACGGGGTCTGATGTACAGTGTTGTTTAGGGCCCCCTGTTTTTTGCTTGGCAGTGGAATAAAAACAACTGACCCCATGAATCCCAGGACACAGGCTGGGCCACCTTTGTACATATCTCTTCGCATGAGGTGGTGGGCATAGTTTCGTTTCTTGGCAGGTGATTGTGTGTGTGTGTGTGTGTGTGTGTGTGTGTGTGTGCGCGCGGCGTTTTGTTTTTTTTGACTAAGGTGAGGATCCCCAGCAGAGATGGGTGGAGATGGGACAGTTGGAGGCCCAGGAGGAAGAGATGTCTGGTGCCCCGGGGAGTCGGGTGAGAGGTGGAGGTGGAGGGGCTGCTTTCCTGGGGAAGGCTCTGAGCTCTGGGCACAAGCACGGCTACTCTGGTGCCCGCAGGCAGAGCTGGGAAGCAGTGCTCCCTCCTCTGGGCACCCTCTGTGACCCCAGGGTGGGTGCCTGTGGCAGCAATGGTCAAAGCAACATCCTTGACCCAGGCACTTGCCCTCACTCTAGGGCTGGTGGCATCAGGGTGGCCCCCTCAGGTATTTTCATGAATGAAATCGTAAGTCAAGCAAGGGTGGGCTTATGTGACTCAAATGGTACACACATCTCTGGAGGGCTCCCATGGATGGCGGGTGCCATTGGTAACAGATGGAAGTCCTCACTGGGCAAGTAGAGAGAGAAGGTCAAAAAGAAGATGAGGTTTAATCTGAGCATTAAAGGAATAGGAATCGGCCAGGGGAAGAAGGTAAGGAAGGCCATTCCAGGCAGTAGGATCAGCATGTGCAAAGACATGAGTGACCACTGGTGGCCTGAGACTATCAGAGGAGTCTGGTCGGCCTGCCTCCGTCTACACATTTCTTCTGCTCTTCTTCCCTGAGCCCTGCCCCCCCCCTCCCATTCCCAGAGGGTGTCACTTGTCAGAAGAGCAGAGTCTCCCTCCTGGTGGGTGGGGAGAGCAGGCATCCTGTCCCTGCTCATGCTGGGCCCAGGGCAAGGACTGGCTGGGCAGCTGGCAGCCTGGCAGCGAGAACATGGTCTGCTCTGCTGTGTCTGCAGCCACTGCCGCAGGACAGCCTGATTGATGACCCGCCCCGTCCAGGGCTTCTCACGGGTCAGCAGCCCCATCTCCGGGCAGCTGCCAAGTGAACCTGCCCGCTCTGCCTCCGTTTCTCCTGTGGCTGCCCTCACCCCCACCTGCAGACCTGCTGTGACATCGCCGCCTCTCCGGGCTCTTCCACCCCTTCTGCCAGCCATTTCCGGGCCTCTTCTCAATCCTGGCGCCAAACGCTCCGTGCGGGACTGGCTTTGCAGAAGTGACGCCCAGCCTGCTGGGTTCTGGCTTGTTCTTTACTTTATCCCCATTGGGCACATGGTAGAGGTTAGAAATACATCTTGAAATCCTTGCTGCTTTTCTCTCCTTTCTCAACTCTCTAGTAACCGTAGTGTGGGCCCTGTATCATCCCTCTGCTTGAGGGTCTGGGTCTGTGTTCTGTTTGCATAAGGCCCACTTCCTCCATCAGTCTAGCGGCTCCCCAAGATCAAGGGTCTGCCTCCATCTTCAGACTGGCAGCTTCTGAGATCCAGCTTTTTCTTTTCCCTTAACAAAGGTATACCCCAGAGCAGGGGAGCACTCCCCCTCAGTCTGTGAGTTCCCTGAAGACAAGGGCTCAGTTTGGGGCTGCGCTATTTCTCTTTGGTGTCTCTAGCCAAGCTCTGCCTTGTCTGCTTCCTGGGGACTCGGGGGCTGCAGCAGAAGCCCCCTGGCCTCTCTGGGGAAGCCTGGGCTGAGCATGGGCACAGCAGGTGTGGATTCGGCTGGGGCCAGAGCCGTATGGGCATGGCTGGGGGCCAGGTACTGAGCTATTTCCGGCCAAGGGGAGCCCAGGGGCTACCCAGCCTAAAGCAGCCATCTGAGCCACAGCTCCAGCTTCCTGGGAAGGTGCTGGGTGGGGTGGGGGCAGGTGGTTCCTGGCATGCCTGACACCTCGTGCTTCCTGTGGGCTCTGTCTTGGGTGGCGGCAGGAGGACAACCACAACTACTATGTGTCCCGTCTGTACGGCCCCAGCGAGCCCCGCAGCCGGGAGCTGTGGGTGGACGTGGCCGAGTCCAACCGGAGCCAAGTGAAGGTCCACAGAATCCTCTCCAACACCCACCGGCAGGCTTCGGTGAGTGCCCAGTTCCCAGAAGCACTGCCTTGGGCTGGGAGGCTGGGGGCCAACCCACCCCACCCCACCTGGTCAGTGGGCATGGCTTTGGCCTAAGGTCTTCGATCTGGGAGGTGCCTTTCAGGGGATCTTGGGTGGTGTGGCCAGAGTTGGGGTGCCCACCTGTGGTCCTGGCAGCCTGCCCTGGACATGCCTGCCCCCCACCCTGTCCAGACAAGCATGGAATGGTGTAGATGCTCAGCCCCTGGTCTGCAACTTGGCCCATGCTGCCTCTCTTCCATCCCCTGCAGAGAGTGGTCTTGTCCTTCGATTTCCCTTTCTACGGGCATCCTCTGCGGCAGATCACCATAGCAACTGGAGGTAAGGCTGTGTCAGCAGGGCTGGGGGAGGATTTGGCGCTCTCCACCAGAACTTGGGGAATCTACCTGGGGAGGCTCCCTGGAGATAGGCTTGTATAGATGGACCAGGGAGGCACCCATGTTTGGCTCTCTTGGGAGCCCACTCTCAGAAGGGAGGTCAGTGACTATGTCTGAATACCTTCCTCGCATCAGCTGACTTGCTTGTGTGTGTGTGTGTGTGTGTGTGTGTGTGTGTGTGTGTGTCTTCGGGCCAGCTCAGGCCAGTATGGGTGGCCCCTGTGGCCCCTGTGGCCCCTGTGTTTCCGAATCTGTGCTTGAGAGGGAAAGGGAGACTGCACTGAGAGCTTGGCTCCTGGGACCAGGCTCCCTGTTCATATCAGGAGCCCATCTTTGATTCCTGTGTAAGTTACCAGGGAAAAGGAGAGATGGGGATTTGTGCCCACCTGGAGGGGCAGGGGAAAACTCTGGTCTGGGACCCTTTTGCTCTGTGCATGACTGTCCCTGAGCCCACCAGCTGGGCGTAGAGGACAGGTTCAAGGCTTGCTTCTAGCTATGTCTGCACTGCTCTTTCCTGCCCGTGGGGAGAAAACATAAGGCAGCACCCTGCTGGGCCATCTCTGGTGATTCCTCTGCATTTCTTCACACCCCAGGCTTCATCTTCACTGGTGACGTGACCCATCGGATGCTCACAGCTACTCAGTACGTGGCCCCTCTGATGGCCAACTTCAACCCTGGCTACTCCGACAATTCCACAGTTGCTTACTTCGACAATGGTGAGACCAGATCTCAGAGTTTAAGTCACCCAGCACCAGGGCTCCCCTGGCCCAGCCCCTCAAGAGGAACACAAGGCCCAGAGAGGGCAAGGAACTTGCCACAGTCACACAGCAAGGCAGTCACCCCACCTTTCTGTACGGTCTCCCCACCTGTAAGATGGTGACAAGATGCCTGCTACTTAGCAGAATCTGATGAGATAATGAAATGAAAGTGCTTGGCTCTTAGTGTAGGTGAAATAAATACTAGGGACTTTTACTATTTCTTAACTCTCACCACATTGTCCCTTGGACATCCATGCTCCTATCCCAGGGGAACAGCCATTTCTCCTATTTCTCCTCCTTTTCATCTCAAGTGCCAAGAAGGAAGGGCATGCTTTGGGTAAGAGATGATCAATCGTTGTATCTGGGGGAAGAAGTAGGGTCTTCTGGTTCCTCTCCAGCTTGGAAGCCAGGCTGATGTGTGTGGGTTGTCCAGCTCCTTGTCTTCAAATTTGCAAACTACCCCATCGTCCCTAAGGGACCCGACCTACGGCTAATCCACTCTGGCCACCATTTCTGCAATGCCCTGCTCCCTGAGCTACCTCCCCATCCACCTGGTCTCTGCTCTTCTCCACAGGGACAGTCTTTGTTGTCCAGTGGGACCATGTCTACCTCCAAGGCCGGGAGGACAGGGGCAGTTTCACCTTCCAGGCAGCTCTGCACCGTGATGGCCGCATTGTATTTGGCTATAAAGAGGTGAGTGAGCCCACCTTCAGAGCTGGCTGGGTCTTGTGGAGAATTTTTCTTCACTCGGCGGATATTTGTGAAGAACCTGGCATAGGGCTTGGTGCCGGGGATACAGCAGTTAATAAGATCACCGTGGGCCCTGCCCTTGTAGAGATGATCTTGTTGAGACAATTGACAATAATCACAAAGACAAAGGTAGAAGTAATTGCCTCTGTAACAAGTGCTCCTCCATAGAGGTGCCACGAGAGCCTGGCATGGGGCCCTTTGCTTCAGTAGGGGTCAGGAGAGGCTTCCCCAAAGAAAAGAGTTAAAATCTGCAGGATGCATAGGAGTTAAGGAAACAAAGAGGAGAGTGAAGTGTGTTCCAGGAAAAAGAAAAGCATGTGCAAAGGTCCTGTGACAGGGTAGATCATAGCTGGTGTGAAGCACTGAAAGAAGACAGCATGATTGGAGAGGAGAGAGTGAGGGGCGAGACGGGGCAGGGAAACACCAAATTTGCCTTTGACAAAGGTCACTCTGACTTCAGAGTGGAGAACAGATTGTTGGGGGCTCAGAGGGAATGCTGGGAGATGAGTTAGAGAGGTGTTGCCAGCTTGGAGTCTGGTGGGGGATGATGGCGAGAACTGGACACATATGAGAGCCGGTTAGCTGGTTAACTAATAGTATTTAGAGATGTATTAGATGGAGGAGGGGGAATGAAGAAAAGGGAGGGCCGGGGTGACTCCCAGGTCTCTGGCCTGCATGGAGGTGCCATTTACAAAGATGGAGCATAGAACAAGGAAATGTGCTTGGAGGTGGTATGGGGAAGACTTGGAATTTGACTGGGGCCCCTTGGGTGTGAGATGTCCTCACAGCCTCCAAGAGGCAGTGCCAGGCAGGCAGTTGGGTCTGGAGCTCAGAGGGAAGTCTAGGCTGGCCCAAGAGTGTGTGTGGGGTAGATGGAGCCTCTTCTCCCCTGCTGCAGATCCCTATGTCTGTCCTGGAAATCAGCTCCTCCCAGCATCCCGTCAAAGCCGGTCTGTCAGATGCCTTCATGACTCTCAATACCTCCCCAGATGTACCAGGTGAGTCCCCAGGGATTCAGCAGAGAAGAGACTTGGACTGGGTTGGACTTGGCGCACACGGACTCAGGCTGGTGGTGGGTGGCAGTGGTGGCAGGGAGCGAATGGACGATGGAGAGCTGAGTGGGAACTGAGGGAAGAAAGGGGGCATAGCGAGGTCCAACTTGTCCTCATTAAAGCAGAGGAGCCATTTTTTCCAATAAAAGCTCCAGCAGGAGGCACTGCTCTGGTTGTTGAGGGGTAGGGGAGCCAGGGCCCTTCTACGTAGCAACCCCCAATTTAGAAAATCTCCAGACTCCAAATTAGGGTTTGAGTCCTTCCAGAACACAGCCATAATTTCCTCCCCACCCCAGCTGATGGAAGAAGCATTACACAGGGGCTTCCACGAGACAGAAAAATGTTTCTTTCCCATTCCTGACCCACCCCACCAGTTCCCGTTTCTGAGGCAACCAGGGCTACCAGGTTATTTCTAGAGCTACAAGCCTTCAGATACATATATGTATAGATATGTAACACAAATGATCATGTATGATGCCACTGTTCTCCTGAACAAAGTATATCCTGCCCATCATTCCATATTGGCACATCATTCTTTTCTTTTTGTTTTGAGATTTTTATCTCTCTCTCTCTCTCTCTCTCTCTCTCTCTATATATATATATATATATATATATGAGATTTATTGTTGTTTAGAGAGGTAGAAACATCCAGGTGAGAAACATTCATCAGCTGCCTCCTGCACGCCCCCTACTGGGGATCCAGCCTGAAACCTGGGCATGTGCCCTAACCGGAATCGACCAGGACCTCTCAGTCCATGGGAGGGTGTTCAGTCCACTGAGTCACACCAGCTGGACCATCTCATTCTTTTCAATGGCTGTGTGACAGCCCATTGCATGAATGTCCTTAATTTAACCAGTCTCCTGGGTATAGACTTTTCAGTTTTTTCCAATCTTTTGCTACAACAAATAATGCTGCCGTGAATATTCTTGCAAGTAGGTACTTTTATGCCCTGTGTGAGTATTTCCGTAAGGCGAATTCCCACCACTTCACCTGCCCTCCCCAGACCCCCTTCCTGAACTCCCTGTGCTCTAGCAAGAGGCTCAGCAAGGACCTGCCAGACCCTGCTCTGCCGCTGCTGTCAGCATCTGCTCTAACTGGTTAACGCCAGTACTGACCTGGTTGCTAAACCGTCTCCGTATCACCCTGATTGTATTAGTTAGCAACTGCTGCATAACAAATCACCCTGAAGAGGCTTAAAACAGCAAACATTATCTCAGAGTTTCTGTGGGTCAGGAAGCAAATTTGGCACCACTTAGCTGGGTCCTCTGGTTCAGGGTCTTTCACAGACTGCCCTTAAGGTGTTTGCCAGGGTTACAGTCACCCCAACAGTTGTTAGGGGAGAGAGATACTTTCATGATGTTGTTGGCAGAATTCAGTTCCCCACTCGGATCCTGCCATGTGGACCTCCCGGTAGGGCAGCTCCCAGCCCAGCAGCTGGCTGCCATCAGAGCAGGCCAGGAAGCCAGCAGCAGGGGTGAGGAAGATGGAAGCCAGTCCTTTTCCTCGAGACCTTGTCTTAGAAGTGCCACCCTATCGCTCTTTGCCGTATTGCCCTGGTTGGAAGCAAGTCACTAGGTCCAGCCCACTCTTGGGATGGGATTACACTGAGTGTGACCACCAAGAGGCAGGGTCCGTGGAGGCCATTTTAGAGGCTGCTTCCTCCACTGATTACAATCCCATCCCCAGACACTGAGCTTCACAGTATCTTACTGATCATCCTCCCATCCTTCTAGGTGAATGTCCAGTAGTCCCCCCTTTTCTGTGGTTTTGCTTTTTGTGGTTTCAGTTACCCACAGCCAACCGCAGTCCAAAAATATTAAATGGAAAATCCCAGAAATAAACAACTCATAAGTTTTAAATTGCACGCCATTCTGAATAGTGTGATGAAATCTCTTGCCGCCGTCCCGCTCCATTCCACCTGGGAACATAAATCATCCCTTTGCTGTGCGTGCTGCCCGGCTGTGCACGCTGCCCGGCTGTGCACGCTCCCTGCTGTGCGCGCTCCCGCCCACTCATTACTTAGTAGCCATCTCGTCAGAAGGTGTGTAGTAGCCTAACACTCCTCCCTCACAATGCCTGTGTCCTTCGCCTCCCCTCATCTCACTACGCAGGCGTCGTATCATCTCGCATCCGCACAGGAAGAAGGGTGAGTGCACTCACCACAAGAAGATGTTTTGAGAGAGACCACATTCACATAACTTTTATTACAGTATATTATCATTGTTCTATTTTATTAGTTATTGTTGTTAATCTCTTGCTGTGCCTAATTTATAAATGAAACTTTATCATAGGCATGTATGTACAGGAAAAACAGTGTATATAGGGTTTAGGACCCTCTTTCATTTCAGGGGTCTTGGGACATATCCCCCACAGAAAACGGAGAACTACTGTATATCTGTCCCTTTCTAAATGGGGACAGAGGTTCAGAGAGGTGGAGTGACTTCCTGTGGTTGCACACTGTGACAGGGAGAAGTGAAAACCAGATCCGGGTTTTGAGCCACAGGATCCACCATGGAGACTTTCTAAGTCTGTCCCACGTACATTCCACCCAGAGGGGCGACGCCTTCCTCCTCAGTTCCCCAAACACCCATAGCCTTACGTGTGTGTGTGTGTGTGTGTGTGTGTGCGCGCGCGCGCGCGCGAGCACACACCCAGGCTATTTGGCAGAAGGGCAGTGCCACACACTCCCACCTCCCTGGGCATCCCTGCACCGCTGGGCGGTCTGGTCCGCTTCATCTGCGTCTCCCTCACAGCGCGGTGCATGGCAGAGTCTCGGAAAATGTGTGCTGGATCCAGCTGTTGAATGAGGGTGAATTAGAGGAAGTCAGATCCCCTGGGAGTGTCTGCATCTGAGGCTCCTCTGTGATTCTGGAATAAAAGGCTATTTTAGAGCAAGGCAGGGAGATGTAGGGAGGCGGGGAAGAGGGTGGTGAGAGGAAGCGCAGTGCACCTGAAAAAACAGGAGGGCAGCTGCGCCTGTTCTGAGAGTCCGGGAGGAGACAGGAGACGCAAGGGCTCTGTCGTGGGAACTGCTGGCTTTGGGCTCTCCAAGTGCTGTTTGCTGAGGTGCTGCATCCACCAGCCAGGCCACAGCCTGTGCCAGACCCCAGTCACTGCCTACCAGCACCCAGACGTCAGGCTCCCTTCTCTCTGTCCCCCATTTCTTCTTGTCACCACCAGACAGATCTGATCATGTCATTCTCTAGCTCTTTGTTGTCTGCAGCATCGAGTCAAAATCCTGAGTGGCATTCAAGGCCCTGTGCAGCTGCACACAGCCTGACTTTATAGGCTCATCCCCAAACCCGCCTGTCACTCACCACTCTGCCTGGGCAGCACTGGTGTGTATGTCCTGTGTTCCCCAAACAGTCAAGGGCACTCTGAGTTTCTGTGACAGTTCCCTGTATAAATTATGCCCCTCTTATCCATTGGCAAAGCTCAGATGTCGCCCCCTCCATGCAGCAGAATTCATGGTTTCCATTTCCACCTCCTAGCACTTTGGTGATACCTTTAATATTAAACCCTTCACATTGCCCTGCTCATCTGTCTTCTCCCCAGTTAGCTGTGAGCTCCCGGGGGGCTCACTGTGGCTCAGTGCCTGTGGCAGGCATGTGCTCAAACAGTGAGGAACACACGAGCTGGTGCCACGGAAGCATGTGGGTGTACTGGAGACCCTGTCCTCTGCTCTCTGCTGACCCCAAGTGAGAGCAGGAACTGATACCACTTGAATTTGGGGGTGAGTGCTTTGGTAATTGCATCTTTTTTGTCAAGGTTTTTAGCTTGAGGATCCAGGCCTAGACTTTAGGAAGACTATCGAGGTGCAGGTGGAGCATATTCCCAGGTGTGCATTTTTCTGGGACAGTCTCCGGGGCCTTCATTGGGTATTTATTTATTTATTTATTATCCTCACCCAAAGACATTTTCCCATTTTTTTCTTCAGATAGAGTGGGAGGGAGGGACAGAGGGGGAGGGAGGGAGGGAGAGAGAGAGAGAGAAACATCGATGTGAAAGGGACACATGGAGTGGTTGCCACCCGCACGACCAACCAGGGCCGGGGACAAACTGCAACCGAGGTTCATGCCCTTAGTGGGAACCAAACCCGGGTCTCTCTGGACCATCAGGTCGATGCTCTAACTGCTGAGCCAAATTGGCCAGGGCCTTCATTGGGTTTTTAAATGGGCCATGATCTCTGCTTTGGAGAATGATGGCTTTGATGTGGTTAAGTGGTCAGGTTCCTCTGTCTGATGTTCAACCCAGGAAGCAGGGAATTTGTTTGGATTAGGCTGAGCTGCAAAGAACAGTAAATCTCAAACAACCAGGGCTGAAACAAGACAGACGTTCAGGGAGAGTGCTGTGGTCTGCAGACCCTATTATCACCATGGATATTCCCATTGTCCCAGCCCACCTAGTCTTACAGAATGGGTGGCATCGCCATCCTTGTACCCAAGCTTAGCTCCTCCGTGCCTGGGGCACTGTGAGGAGTGGAATTGGGTTCCCCATTGTTCAAGAATCCCCCCATGACTGAACCTTGTCCAGAGACTTGCTCGTTTCCCAGCCTGAGGGCGGAGAGAATTCTGCACATTGTCACTCGTGGGGTTGAGGAAAGAAGGGTTTTTCTTTTCATTACTTCCTTACATAAGCTGCTGCCCGGGCTTTGGAGCAGTCTGCAGAGTGTGCATCGACACAGAAAGTGCAGTTAGCGGCATCCTTCTGCAGAGGCACGCGAGACACCGAATAGCTTGTACACTCTTTGTGTGGCTGGAAGGGCCCCCAGAAATCAATTTAATTTCCTCTATTCATTTGTTAAAGAAACCTTTCCTTTCATGGCCAGTAGAAAAGCAACTTTAGCGTAGCCAACGTCAAAACGGACAGATCTGACTTGGTGGAATCGGTTAATGAAGAGTTCATTATGAAAGGCTCCGAATGATAGACTGCCCCTTGGCTGGCC